GAAGATATCTTCTATTATATTATACCTTCTTTCTATATATATAATTCGATAGTCTTATTATTCTATTCTATCTCATCTATACTAGTATCGTATCTATGCTAATTCTAATAACTTTCGTCTAAGTTATAGACTTAAGAATTATTACTAAGAATAGTTAATAACTAAGACTAAGATACGACTTATAGAAAACGCTAAATATTAAAAATCGAATTAAAAAAACTATAAACTCCTCTATAAAAAATTATCTTTCTTATTATAAAATCTATTTATAATTATTTTTCTCTTTATATAACTTATTTATAAAAATTTAATCGAAGTAGATATTTAAATTATTAGATAAATGTAAATACGCGTAATTATACGTTAAAGTATACTCTATTTTATATTATAAATCTCGAAAGCGATAAGATATTTAACGTAATCTATAAGTATAAATACTAGTATTTTATTTATTATAGAATATTTTAAATAGAAATAAATAGTAAAGACTATTAGACGTACGTTATAAAAAGCGATCTATAGTCTTATATTTAAATTATATTTAAGTATATCTAATACTATAATAGTAATAATCTCTACGATTATTATAACTCGAAGTAAATTTATTTAAAGATAAATAAGCGAATATAGTAGAGAGAGTTTTACGTTAGATATTTAGATATTATTACGAAATAATTTTAAGTGAAATCATATATATGAATAATATATATGTGTGATGTAATAATTCTATATAATATATAAGATCTATAGTAGAAGAAGTCTCTATAGTATCGTAGTGTTAAGGTACTAAGCCTAATCGAAACGCCTAGTAAAGAAATTCGTAATAGATATATATAATTAATAGTCGAAAAGATATAATATCTAATATGAAATTTAAGTAATTTTCGAGATATTATCTTAAAAGATATAGAATATCTCTAATTTTACTCGATATCTTATATATAAATTATCGTATTTTAAATATATCTCGTATAAAATAGACTAGTCTCGTTATAGAACTTTAAGAATTATAAGATTCTATAAATAGATTATAAAGATATAGGTCTTTAAAGAAAAGAAGTAAAAGTTATAAAATTCTAAATTAATTTTTTTTTATATCTTCTTAATCGCTATATAGAATATATACGATATAAGTAATATAATCGTATCTATCTAAGAATATTTATTCTTTAAAAAAAGAGAAGAGATAAATATAAGAAGAGCGATAGTTATCGAAATTATTAAAGAATTAGAACTAGTTTTAAAAAAATTAAAAGACTATAATCTAGAAATAAAAGTAGAAAAAAATACGTTAACAAGTAAGAAAATCTTTTTTTAAAGTTTAAATCTATTAAAAAGTATGATATTATTATATCGAATATGAAATAAACTATTAATTATATTATTAATATCGACGAGTTAGACGCTAGATCGACGTTATTTAAAAGTAATTTCTTAATTTCTATAAAACGTTTATAGTTCTATTAAATTTCTAAAAATTTCACGCTATAAATCTTAACTCGCTACGTAAGAATCTCGACGAGATTTCGAGTTATATCTCGCTATCTCGACTAGTTCTTAGTATTTATAAGCGACTTCTTTAAACTTTAATATTATATATTAAGAATTATAATAAAATCGAGTTTATAATATAATATTATAGTTTAAATTAAAGTATAAGATATAGATATTTAGAAATATAATAAGATATATTAGATTAGATTTAAAGAAACGTTATAAAAGCGCTATAGAAACGCTATAAAAATATTATAAGAGTAATAGCTTTAAATTAATATAATAAAACGCTTAATAAGAATAATAGAGTATTTTTATTATTTGATAAAATAACAAGTAAAGGCCCATGAATTAAATTCATGGAGTTGGATTTTTCTAAGTCAAATCGAACTCTAATCGCTTACTGTACGTTTTTGACCTACATACAGGCATATATGTACGGAGAGAGGCGCGCTAAGGCCTAATTAGGAAGGTGTATCGAGTGTGGAGGATTGATCCGTAATAATTGCCTACAAAAAACAGAGAAAGGCCATGTCCTTATGGCAAGAAGTATCGAAATACCGGAAAGAAATGGAGACAACATGCCAATTAGTGGTGTGAATCCCACATTATCTCCTGCCGCAGTGAAATCTTTCGAATAATGAAATAGCTGTCAGAGCAAGACATCGGACGGTTTCAATTCGTCCAAATATGCATCGTTCCGGAGTGATGATTTGATGTGGAACCGTGGAGAGCATATGAGGTGGGATCTTGGAGAGCTGAGCCGTGTTCTTGACGATGGTGGCCTTGTTGCCGCTTAGTTTCTCCGCAGTGTTCTCCGCATTTGCCTGTTGTAGTTCCTCCTCTTGCTCCTCAATGCAGTGGGGATGATAGGCCAAGTTGCAGTGGTATTCTCCGCTTGCTAAGTGATGATTTGATGTAGAACCGTGGAGAGCATATGATGTGGGATTTTGGAGAGCTGAGCCGTGTTCTTGGTGCTGGGGGCCTTGTTGCCGCTTGGTTTCTCCGCAGTGTTCTCCATAGTGTTCTCCGCAGTGTTCTCCGCATTTGCCTGTTGTAGTTCCTCCTCTTACTTCTTGATGTAGTGGGGATGATAGGCTAAGTTGCAGTGGTGTTCTCCGCTTGTTGAGTGATGATTTGATATGGAACCGTGGAGAGCATATGACGTGGGATCTTGGAGAGCTGAGCCGTGTTCTTGGTGCTGGGGGCCTTGTTGCCGCTTGGTTTCTCCGCAGTGTTCTCCATTTTCTCCGCAGTGTTCTCCGCATTTGCCTGTTGTAGTTCCTCCTCTTACTCTCTTGATGTAGTGGGGATGATAGGCTAAGTTGCAGTGGTGTTCTCCGCTTGTTGAGTGATGATTTGATATGGAACCGTGGAGAGCATATGACGTGGGATCTTGGAGAGCTGAGCCGTGTTCTTGACGATGGTGGCCTTGTTGCCGCTTGGTTTCTCCGCAGTGTTCTCCGCATTTGCCTGTTGTAGTTCCTCCTCTTACTCCTTAATGTAGTGGGGATGACAGGCCAAGTTACAGTGGTGTTCTCCGCTTGCTGAGTGATGATTTGATGTGGAATCGTGGAGAGCATATGACGTCCGGACGCGTTTGGTATGACTACAATATTTGAATATTAGTTTAACCCACCTACCGCTGGCTTGGGAAGAGTATGTAGGGGAGGACGTATCCGTTCGGGCTCTTTTTGAGGGCCTTCCAACGCGTTTATGAGCAGTAGTAGGTAGCTGTTAGGCTCGCTTGCGGCCTCGATTGCCAGCAGTAGCGGATTCGTCGAGGGGTGGCTTGGGGGCGTCAGTAAGGGGCTCTAATTGGGCGAGGGGTACCGAAGACGATTGTGTTTATATTGGTGGAATTGATAGAATTGGTAGAATTGGTAGAATTGGTAGAATAATGGAAGAATAACAAACAGGTGGAAGGATTATTATCCGATCCCGGACGCGTCTGGTGTGACTACCATGACTACCATATTTGAATGTTCATTTAATTCACCAATAGTAGGCCAAACTTCATAATTTTTACAGCGTTAGAAAGCGCAAAGCGAGCTCTACAATTTACCAAATTATGAAGAAACAGTATCCGTAGGGAGCTGGTTATTTCAGAGGATAAGACTTCTGCACATAGATTTTTGTAGATTTTTGATGGTTGCGGACGCTAATTTATTTACCCGCGGTGTCTAACCAAAAAGCGTAGACCTGACGAATTTATGATTGGCTGCACATACAAATTCAAGGTTTTCTAGTTCAGCCCTACCTTATTCTTTTATATATACTGATATTATCTAGATCTAACTCTACTTCGTTAAAATCTCGTCTTAAAGCGAGATAATATTAAGCGTTTAAAATCTTTTCTTATCTCCCTTCGTTACGTAGCGTATCTAGATATTAAGAAATAATTTAAGTTTTAGAAATTAAATCTTAATTTAGAAGAATAGTTAGCTAGAAGTTTTATATTATATAAGATATTTATTATTTAAAAAGATAAGAGTAATAAGAGATTTTTTATAGTTTAAAATAGTTATTAATTAATATATATAAAAGAATAAAATAAACTTAAGTTAAAAAAAAGTTAATTTATATATATAATTAAATATAAGTTTAATATTTTTACGCTCTTTTATTATATCGACTAAGTTAGCTCGCTAGCCCTCTCGAGATCTCTTATTAAAAAATAGATATACGTTATTTATAAATAGAATAAGTTTTATATTTCTATTAAATTTTTAATTTTTTTTAAATTATAATACGTATTTTACGCTTTTTAACGATTTAAAGATTTTGAAATTAAGTCTTATAATTATAGTAGCCGAAAAGGTATAATATTTGATATGGGATTTAGGCAATTTTCGAGATATCATTCCAAAAGATATAAGATATTTTCAATCCCACTCGGTATTCTATATATATATTACCGTATTTTAAAATCGTCCCGTATAGAATAGACTAGTCTTATTATAGAGCTTTAAGAATTATAAAATTCTATAAATAGAATATAAAGATATAAATTTTCAAATAAAAGAGGTGTTAAGGAATCATTATGATTTGACTCATATATGTGTGTGGTGTAAAAGATGTTGAGTATCTATGTAGTCTGCAGGCAGATATGTGCGGTGCCAAGCCTACGCTAGTGGCCCTATGAGTATCCCTGAGGCATCTCATGACAATTGCCCACAAAAAACAGAGAAATGCCATGTCCTCATGGCAAGAAGTATGCATGCATGATTTTTCGAAAAACCGGAAAGGAGTGGAGACACCGTGCTAATTAGTGGTGTGCATCCCACGAAATCTCCTGCTGGAATGAAAACTTTTGAATAGTACCGGAGCAAGACATCGGACGGTTTCAATTCGTCCAAATATGTATCGTCCAATCTTCCTCCTGCAGTGGCCTAATTGGCTGTGATCGTCGCAGTAGATCCTTCTCTTGTATCGTCAACTCAATGATATGCCATATCAATACGATATCGCCGAGGCACGCAGAGATAGCAGGCCAAATTGTAGTGTCATTCTCCGCTTGCTGAGTGGCGATTTGACGGGGGGATTGTGGAGAGGTAAGCCGTGTTCTTGACGATGGTGGCCTTGTTGCCGCTTGGTTTCTCCGCCGTGTTCTCCGCCGTGTTCTCCGCAGTATTCTCCGCATTTGCCTGTTGTAGTTCCTCCTCTTGTAGAGTATCAGACTGAGTGGCTGACTGAGTGGATGACTGAGTGGCTTGCTGAGTAGCTGACTGAGTGACTGGCTGTAGAGACCTTCTCGTATATTGCTGGCGAGTCTTCTGATTCCGGTGCTTCTTCTTCTGCTGTGTTGCACGGACGAATGGACACTCCGGTGATCGAGTAGCGTGGAAATCGAATGGATTATCACTATCCCAGTCACAAGGATCAAGACCGCATAGTGAGCACACCGTTAGATCCGGGGATGGAAAAGTAGGGTCGAATTCTCGATGAAAGCCAGCACGGGCTACGTCAGAGGCACTTGGATATACGTGTGGCCATGACGTGAATGAGGCAAGTCTTGCAGCGTATGAGTTCATTGTGATATCGACAGGCCTATTGAAAGGATCGATTTGGACGGTGTCAAAAGGTACTCGATGACTGCGAGTGTGTTGGAGGTCCGGCTTGGAGCGTCACACTATTAGGTGTTGATGTGGGCTTTGCGTAAACGTCTGATGACGCCTGGATATCCTATGAAGTAGGGCCAGGTGTTGCTACCAATTGTTAAGGAATCATTATGGTTTGACTCATATATGTGTGTGTTGTAAAAGATGTTGATTATCTATGTGGTCTGCAGGCAGATATGTGCGGTGCCAAGCCTACGCTAGTGGCCCTATGAGTATCCCTGAGGCATCTCATGACAAGAGGTAAAAGTTAAAAAATTCTAAGTCCAAAAAATATCATACCTTTTCGGCCAGTATATAATTATTTAAAAAATAAGAAATTTAAATATCTCTTATTAAAGTTCGCTCGATAGCCTTAATTATAAAATAGATATATATTAATTAATTTTAAAGAAATTCTTTTATTTTCTATAATTCTTTTTAAAAGATTATAGAATATAATTTACGCTTCTAAATAAAAAAGAATTATCAAATTTAATCTTATATATATTTAAAGATAAGGAATTTAAATATCGCGTATTAAAGACTTATTTACTCTATTAAGAATAATAATATATATAATAGAATAAAATAGGGCTAAGCTATAAAATCTTAAATTTATATATATAATTAATTATAAATTTAGAGTTATTACGCTCTTTAATTAAATCGACTATATTAGCTCGCTAGTTCTCTTAAGCTTTATTATTAATAGTTTATATATAGAAGTTTTATATTTAAAAATATCTAGCTTTTTATAAATGTTATTTCTTTATAATTAATTAAAATATAAAGTCTAATTTACACTTTCTAATAATATAAAATTTATAAAATTTAATTTACTATTAATAAGTTAAATTAATATTTAAATATAAGTAAAGATCTATAAATTAAATTCTCAGAGTTAAATTTTTCTAAATTAAATAAAGTTAGATTTTTTTAAATTAAATAGAATTTTAGCTCTAGCTCTAAGTTAAATCGAATTCTAATCGCTTACTATATATTTTTAATCTATTTTTATTATTATAAAATTAATAAAGAAGATAAGAGCTCTAACTCTAAATTAAATTAAATTTTATTTATTTTCTATATAATAAATAGCTTATTACTATTACTATAGATTACTAATTAATTATATTCTTATTTAAAAAAAGTATTTACTTAATAATCTTATTCTTAATATATCTTACTAATCGAGTAAATTATCTTCTTAATAAATTATTTAAAACTATAATTAATAAATTAATTTTACTAATAACTCGATTTAAGATTATATATAATTAATTATAAATAAAGATCTTAGAATATAGATATAAATCGATTTACTATAATAATTAATTTTAAATCTTATTAATTATTATATTAAAGATTAATTAAATTAAAAATTAAATATATTAAAAAAAAATTATTTAAATTAATCGAGGTTAGAGGAATATATAATATATAATATTATTAATTATTAGATTTATTTTTAGAAATATAATAATTAAGTATTTTAAATCTAATATATTTAATTTATAAATATATTCTATTATATAAATATATATACTATTTTAAATTTCTTAATAATATTATTATATATATATTTATTTTAATTTTAAATAATAAGATAAAAGTAATATTTATTTAAAGATATTTATTATTTTAATAGATAAAAGAAAACTATTTTTTTTATTAATAACTTAATCTCTATTATTATAAATAATCTTAATTTAAAAAAATTTATTAAGAATTTAATTATTAGATTAAACGATATTCTTATTAAAAATATAAAGAATTATTCTAAAAATATAAAAATTAATTATTTAATATAAATTAAGATTATTATAAGTAATATTATTTAGCTAAATAATAAAATTATTTAATAATTACTTAATAAATTAATTAATAGCTTCTTATTTTTAGAGCTTATTAAAATATTATTATTTATATTTAATAATTTTTAAATAAATTTCTTTATATTAATTCGATTCTAACTAATTAAATTAAAATTATAAATATATTTTTTATAAATCTAAAGATTTAAATATAATTTTAAAAAATAAAACGCTTTTAATATAAATTTAACAATGAAACTTAATTTAATATTTTTAATAATTAAAAAAATTTAAAAAAATTATTATAAAAATATATAACTACAAGTAAAGGCCCATGAATTAAATTCATGGAGTTGGATTTTTCCAAGTCAAATCGAATTTTAGCCCTAGCCCTAAGTCAAATCGAACTCTGATCGCTTGCTGTGCGTTTTTGACCTACTTCCACCACTACAAAATTGATTTAATCTATATAGTATACAGGCACATATATACGGAGAGAGGCGCGCTAAGGCCTAATTAGGAAAGTGTAATAATTACTCACAAAAAACAGAGAAAGGCCATGTCCTTATGGCAAGAAGTATCGAAATACCGGAAAGAAATAAAGACAACGTGCTAATTAGTGGTGTGAATCCCACAATATCTCCTGCCGCAGTGAAATTTTTCGAATAATGAAATAGCTATAGACATCGGACGGTTTCAATTCGTCCAAATATGCATCGTTCCGGAGTGATGATTTGATGTGAAACCGTGGAGAGCATATGACGTGGGATCTTGGAGAGCTGAGCCGTGTTCTTGACGATGGTGGCCTTATTACCGCTTGGTTTCTCCGCAGTGTTCTCCGCATTTGTCTATTATAGTTCCTCCTCTTACTCCTTAATGTAGTGGGGATAACAGGCTAAGTTGCAGTGGTGTTCTCCGCTTGCTGAGTGATGATTTGATGTGGAACCGTGGAGAGCATATGACGTGGGATCTTGGAGAGCTGAGCCGTGTTCTTGGTGCTGGGGGCCTTGTTGCCGCTTGATTTCTCCGCAGTGTTCTCCATAGTGTTCTCCGCAGTGTTCTCCGCATTTGCCTGTTGTAGTTCCTCCTCTTACTCCTTAATGTAGTGGGGATGACAGGCTAAGTTGCAGTGGTGTTCTCCGCTTACTGAGTGATGATTTGATGTGGAATCGTGGAGAGCATATGACGTGGGATCTTGGAGAGCTGAGCCGTGTTCTTGGTGCTGGGGGCCTTGTTGCCGCTTGGTTTCTCCGCAGTGTTCTCCGCATTTGCCTGTTGTAGTTCCTCCTCTTACTTCTTAATGTAGTGGGGATGATAGGCTAAGTTGCAGTGGTGTTCTCCGCTTATTAAGTGATGATTTGATATAGAACCGTGGAGAGTATATGACGTGGGATCTTGGAGAGCTGAGCCGTGTTCTTGGTGCTGGGGGCCTTGTTGCCGCTTGGTTTCTCCGTAGTATTCTCCGCATTCGCCTGTTGTACATCCTCCTCTTATTTAACTGAGTGCGAGGGTACCGGAGAGTAAATGTGTTCATAGGGTGATGAAGAACGGATAGGGGAGGAAGACGCGTCTTAGGAGGTAGCATCGCTGGGTTAAAAGGCACCATCGCTGGCTTAGGAGGAGTATATAGAGGAGGACGATGGCTGTGAATCCGTTCGGGCTCTTTTTGAGGGCCTTCCAACGCGTTTATGAGTAGTAGTAGGTAGCTGTTGGGCTGCGGCCTCGATTGCCAGTAGTAGCGGATTCGCGGAGGGGTGGCCTAAGGGCGTCAGTAGGGGCTCTAAGAGGCGGGCAAAAGGGGTGTACGTGCCTGAAACGTTGAGTAACCTTTAGGCGAGGGGTACCGAAGACGATTATATTCATATTGATGGAATTGGTAGAATTGGTAGAATAGTGGAAGAATAACAAACACACCAACAGGTATTATTATTATCCGATCCCGGACGCGTCTGGTGTGACTACCATGACTATCATATTTGAATGTCCATTTAATCCACCAATAGTAGGCCAAACTTCATAATTTTTACAGCGTTAGAAAGCGCAAAGCGAGCTCTACAATTTGAGGAATTATGAAGTAACTGTATGTATCGCAAGCTGAGTACTTCAAAGTGTAAAACTTCTACATACAAATTTTTGATGAGGGAGGCGCGGGAGGGCTACCGGGCTGACTCAGCCGGTCTAACCAAAGGGCGTAGCGAACCCGAATTGATGATTGGCTGCACATACAAATTCAAGGTTTTCAAGCTCAGCCCTACCTTATTCTTTTATATATACTGATATTATTAAAAAGAGTAAAATTCTTTTTAAATATTTTAAAATATATAATTAATAATTTAATATCGTAGCGATTTTATATAGAGATTTTATTTTAAAAAATAAACTTAATTATTTTTAATAATTAAATTAAATTAGATCTTATCGATATATTATAATTAAGTAATAATATTAAGAGTAATTTTAAAGTAAAAATAAGCGATAATATTATCTTAAAGAAGAATAAAGGCGATATTAAATAAAATTATAATAATAATTATTTTAAATTTATATCGTACTCTTTATAATTAGTATATATAAAAGAATAAGGTAGGGCTGAGCTTGAAAACCTTGAATTTGTATGTGCAGCCAATCATCAATTCAGGGTCACTACGCTCTTTGGTTAGACCGGCTGAGTCATCGCGGGTAAATAAATTAGCGTCCGCAACCATCAAAATCTCGCCCTCCCGCGCCTCCCTCATCCAAAAATAGGTATACGTTATTCACAATAGTAATAACTTTTTTGTTTTCTATTAAAATTTTGAAATTTTTTTTTTAAAATTTTGAAACGCTGTTTGCGCTTTCCGAATTTTTAAGAATTTTGAAATTTGGTCTTATAATTATCAAAGCGCAAGGAATTCAAATATCGCTCACCAAAGTTCGCTCACCAAAGATCGCTCACCTATTTACTCGATAGCCCTGATCAAAAAAATGATTATTAATTTAATTCATAGGCCTTTACTCGTATAATATAATAAATTATAATTTTATTAATATTTCTATAATTATTAAAAAAAAGTTGGTTATTAAAATAAGAGATCGCGTTTTAAATAGCGTTAGTTATAGCGATTTAATTATTATTAAAACTTATTTATATCTATTATTAAATATTAATTTAATAATTATAACTTTTATATAAAAATCGATTTTAATTATTAATATAATATTATTTATAATCTTATTAAATTATAAATAAATTAAAATTAATAATAAAATTAATATTTTTTATAAAACTATTATTATTATTTTTAAATAAATTTAAATAAAATAAAAATAAAAGTCTTTAATAATTATTTATTTATTTATTTTATATATTATTTAATAGAGAAAAAAATATAATATTAAGTTTAAAGAATATAATTATAATTATTAAATAATTTAAATAGAGAAAAATATATATTAAGTAAGAAATATATATAAAATATATATAAAATATAGATAAAATATAGATAAAATATATATAAAATATATATAAAATATAAAAGAAAAATTAAATTATTTATAAGTAAAAAAAAAATATATATATATATTTAACGCGAAAAGTTTTAATAACTAAAAATAGAATACTATATTAAAAAAAATTACGATATTTTATAATTATTATTAATATAAAAATCTTCTTATTCTATAGTTTAAAGTTCTTTAATTTATATAAGAAATTATTAAAAAATATATATATAATATAAAAAGTTTTAATATATAAAAAAGAAATATTATATTAAAAAAATTTATAATATTTTAATATTATTATTAACGCGAAAAACTATTTATATTATATTTAAAGTTTTTTTATCTAATAAAAAAGAATTATCTATATATTCTAATTTATAATTATTTTATAAATTTAAAAAATTATTAAATTTATATTATAATAGAATTATTATAAAAACATTTTTTAAATAATATTTTCTATATTAGATTACTTCTTTATTTAATATTTAATTTTATTTAATACTATTATAAAGTAAGTCTCTCGCTATATAAATATTATAATAAAAAAAATTATTATCTATTATATAAAAGTTTTTAAAAAATATAAAATTTAATATATTTAAAAGAAGATATTATAGATAAAGTTATTTTTTAATATTTAAATTAATATAATATATTCTTTTAATAATACTTCCATATCTCTAATATAAACTTTATTTAAATATATCTTATTTATTCTTTTTTTAAATATATTATATTAATAGATTAATATAGAAGAAATCTTTTATTTATTTTTACTATTAATATTATTTATTTAGCTAGAAAAAGACTATTAACTTAAATTAATATTTATATATTATATTATTATTTAATTTAAATTATTATTATTATTAAATATTATATTATATTAGTTTAAAAGAGAAATAAAGGATTATTTAATAAAAAAATTATAATTATATAATTTAAAGCTAAAAATTCTTTAATAAACTTTTATAAAGTATATTTATTATATATTTTAATACTCTTAAATCTTATTTATCTAGTCTAAATCTATACTATTCTAATCTATATTACTTTTTATACTCTATATAAAAATTAATCTAATTATTACTCTTAAAAATATATTTAAAAATATATCTATAAATTTTAATATTAATATAAATCTTTATATTAAGATAAGCGTTATATTCAATTAATAAATAGAGATTATAAAATATTACTTAATAATTCTATTTAGATTTATTATCTAATATTTGTTACGAGCGTACCCTTGACACACCACTCAGCCCTCAGCCCTATGGCTAGCGGGCCTTGGCGGAGGCATCTCCTACTATATCATGCCTCCTTCCCACATACATAGTTCGGTAGCCTTATTATCCTAGTTCTACCTCACCCATACTGGTATCGTACCTATGCTGGTCCTGACATTATAATAAGGCTCCTTCGTACACCCGGCGAAGAGAAACACATACGGGCCAATCAACGCACACTCACGCCCATTCGGATTAGCGGACGAATGGTTAATAAACAAACGCGCTGGCAAGGGCTTTGTCAAGATACTAACTTGAGACCAAGACACCACGACCGGTTAAGGTCAAGACAGGAACTTGAGGCATCGTATCCTTGGGTCAGCCCACCAAACGGGTAATTCGTTTCGGCATGACGGAACGGCCTCTGGACAGCAGGAGGGATAAAGCACCGCTGGACCATTCGTACTGCAAGCGAATCAGAAAGAAACTGACGGACAACAACACCCTATACGAAGTATATATATAATAGCGATATTAATAGAGTATATAATAGTAATAATATTAAAGTATTAATTATAGTATAGAGGAATAGAGGGAGAGTATAAAGACTTTTAGTATATAAGTCTCGTTTATATAGTATAATAGATAGGAATCTTCTTACTATTCTCTATCTTAATTATCTTTTATTAATATATCTAATATTTAAAGTATTAATTATAATAATAGAACTCGAATTTAAGTACTTACTTTAACTGAGGCTAGGATTACTATTAAAATTATTACTATAATTATCGAAATATCTTATTAAATTATTAATCGACTTTAGAAATAAGCCTGTGATAGAGGATACGATTTTACTATATTTAAAAAACTCTTAATATTATATATTATAGATAAGTCTAGATTCGAATATTTCTTAATTATTATATCTATACTTAAGAGTATAATTCTAGATATTATATAAAAAAACCGCTATAGTCGTAAAAAGACTTCTTTTATACTTATTATTAAATAAAAAATCTTATTTATAATAATACTACGAGTACTTAGATGTAATAATTTCCGAGTTTATAAAATTATTAAAAAATTATCTCTTATAGAAGTTATAATAAAAGTATATTATTAATTCGCTTTATAATATAAGAATTAAATTATAGAAGATTAAAAAAGAGTAATTTAAAGTAATAAGATTAGTATAATCTTAAATTCTTAATAGAAAAGAGTGCGTATATAGCGTTAATCTAATAAGATCTTCGTTAAATCTAATATATAACGTCGTTTCGTAGATACTATAAAGTTTATATTCTAGAAATATTTTTTTTATAATAAAAAGAGTTCTTATTATATCTAGAAAGTCGAGATCGCTATTAAAAAGAAGAAGTATATTAAAAATCTCGCTAAAATTAATATTACTTTAAAATCTAACGCTAAATAAGCTTAAAAACTTAAGATTAATATAAGATATATAAATCTTCGAAATTCTCTTAATAAAAAGCTTATATAAAACTTTATTACTAAGATTAAAAAAGTTACTATTAAGAGAAAAAAAAGGGGAATTAATTAATATCGCTATTAGAAAAAGATATATATTCTTATATTTCTTATATTTCTTCTTCTTATTAGATATAGATTCTTATTTTAAAGCTTTTAAAGTTCGCTTAAAAGTATAAATAAGAAAGACTTAATATAATAATTATAAAAGATAAAGTCTTAATATACGTATTAAAGTATTAAGAAGCGATATTTATATTATTTAATATTATTAGAATAGTCTAATATAATAACTCTTTAAATCTTAATATAATTAAGTCTTATTAGCTATAAATAAAACGTCGTATTACTTAAAAAGATATATTAAGAACTTATAAGAAAGTCAAAAAATAGATAACTATATTATTAAAATTACAAGCTTATTTAAAAGAGGATTTAGAAGTAAATAAAGCGAATATCGAGATATATTATAAAGGTAATACGCTTTAAAGATAGTAATAAGTATAGAAAAGATTATAAGAGAGATAATATATAATTATACGACTTCGTCGAGCGAGCTAATAAGTATATACGTAATTATATAAAGTATTATCGTTAAAACGTCCTCCCCTACATACTCCTCCTAAGCCAGCGATAGGTGGGTTAAACTGACATTCAAATATTGTAGTCACACCAAACGCGTCTGGGATCGGATAATAATCCTTCCACCTATTTGTGTAACCATTCTTCTTCCACCATTCTACCAATTCTACCAATTCTACCAATTCTACCAATTCCACCAATATGAACACATTTACCCTCGGTACCCTCGCACTCAGTTGAACAAGAGAAGGATCTACAACAGGCGAATGCGGAGAACACTACGGAGAACATTGCGGAGACAGTCATCAGCAGCAGTGACACAACAGGCCTACTCTCCACGGTCTCACACCAATCCACTCAGCCAGTGCAAGAGAAGTCAATACAGCAGGCGAATGCGGAGAACACTGCGGAGAAACCAAGCGGCAACAAGGCCCCCAGCACCAAGAACACGGCTCAGCTCTCCAAGATCCCACGTCATATGCTCTCCACGGTTCCACATCAAATCATCACTCAGCAAGCGGAGAACACCACTACAACTTGGCCTGTCATCCCCACTGCATTGATAACATCGCAAGAGGAGGAACTATAACAGGCAAATGCGGAGAACACTGCGGAGAACAGTACGGAGAACACTGCGGAGAAACCAAGCGGCAACAAGGCCCCCAGCACCAAGAACACGGCTCAGCTCTCCAAGATCCCACGTCATATGCTCTCCACGATTCCACATCAAATCATCACTCAGCAAGCGGGGAACACCACTGCAACTTGGCCTGTCATCCCCACTGCATTGATATGATACATCACTGCAATGAGCACACAAGAGAAGGATCTACTGCGACGATCACAGCCAATTGGGCCACTGCAGAAGGAAGTTCGGACGATACATATTTGGACGAATTGAAACCGTCCGATGTCTTGCTCTGACAGCTATTTCATTATTCGAAAGATTTCACTGCGGCAGGAGATAATGTGGGATTCACACCACTAATTGACATGTTATCTCTATTTCTTTCCGGTATTTTAATACTTCTTGCCATAAGAATATGGCCTTTCTCTGTTTTTTTATAGGCAATTATTACGGATCAATCCTCTACACTCGATATACCTTCCTAATTAGGCCTTAGCGCGCCTCTCCGTATATATATGTCTATATGTAGGTCAAAAACGCACAGCAAGCGATCAGAGTTCGATTTGACTTAGGGCTAGGGCTAAAATTCGATTTGACTTAGAAAAATCCAACTCCATGAATTTAATTCGTGGGCCTTTACTTGTAGTTATATATAGAGATTAAAAAATAGATTTTAATTAGAAATTTTAATATTATTAGCGAAATCTATCTTAATAATATTAAAAAATTAATTTTTAAAATATAATATAATAAGAATATAGATATATAATAAATTTTATTTTTAAAATTTAATAATATAAATATAAATTAAAATTTAATTTATTACTTATAAAGTTAATTAAAATTAAAATTAATTAATATTTTAATTAATTATACTTCGCTTTTATAAAGATAAAAAAAAAATATATTATAAAGTTAATTAATATAGATTATAATATATAATAAATTAAATTATATTAGAAGTATTTCTAAAGATTATAATCTATATTAATTATTTAATTAATATATCGTTTAAGATATTATTCTATTAAATAAGATAGAAAAAAGTTATTATATTATAATAGAGAATAAAAAAAATAAAAAAAAATCTAATATCTTTCTCTTTAGAATATTATTTATAAGAATTTTTAACTTTAATTTAAATATTCTAATAATTAAATTAAATTAATTAATTAATAGTTTATTTATTAAATAAAAGATCTTTTATAACTTTAATTTATTTTAAATTATAGATAAAAGTTATAAAGAGATTTAATTAATTAAATTTAATAATAGAGTAATAATATTCTAATAAAGTTATTTTATAAATTATAAATCTTCTTAATAGAAGAAAGAGAGAATAATATATTATTTATTAATTTAATTATTTATAATAACTCTATTAATATAAATATTAAAAACTATTTAATAGATATTAATTTAAATAATCTTTTAATTTATTTTTAATTAATAAAATTTATTATTTTCGATAGCTATATAGATATTATAGATAGAATATTATAATAATCTATTAAAATATAATTAAATTTATTACGATAAATCTATATTATATATTTATAGAAAGTTAATAATTAATAAAATAGAAGAAATAAATAATATAAATTTATAATATAAAATAAGTATTATTTATATAAAGTTATCTTAATTAATAATTTCTCTAATTTATAAAATAATTCTTTTATTTCTACTTCGCTAAGTAAGAAGACTTTTATTTAATATATTATATATATTATATATATTATTATATTATAATATTTATTAAATAAAAAATATAAAAGAATAGCGTCGAGATATATAGAATTAATAATAATATAAAATATTAAATCTTTTATTAATTTAAGTTTTTATTAACATATTTCTAATTTTAGATATATCTAAAAAATTATTAATATTATTCTTTTAAATTATAATAATTTTATTTAAAATAGAATAATTATAAATATATAAATTATAATATTATAAATTTTTATAAAGTAACTTATAATCTCTTATATTTAAATTAATTTTTAATCTTTTAAATATTAATATAAAAATATTAATATAGAAATTAATATATTTAAAGATTATAGCTATTTTATAATAAAGTATCTAATTAATATAATTATAACAATTATATTTTTTAAAGTTAATATAAAAAATGCGATTAAAAAAAGTTATATTATATTTTAAATTAATTTTAAATATTATTTATAATATAAATTTAATTAAAAATTCATATTTAATTTTTTTAGAGATATTAAGATAGATATATAAGTAGTAATTTTTTTTTTCAAGATTTTATATATATAAAAGATGATTAAATAATGAATTAGAATTTATTATAAAATTATAAAGATTATATTATTATATTAAACGCTATAACGATAAAACTTTTTATAATTCTTAATAAAATTTAAGATTTCTAATATTAAAGAATAGAGAATTTAATTAATAATATACTCGCTAAAATTGATTAGATTATTTATACTTATTTTAATATTTTTATAATTTTATTTTATATTATTTACTTCTTAATTAATATCTATTTTAAATATATTAATTTTAATTTTTTTATTATTATAATATTACTCGATTATATTATAACTATTATAAATTTAATTTATAAAATCTAAATTATATTATATAGATTTTATAATATATAAATAATATATAATATAATTAGCGAGCTTTATTAAAGATTAAATAAAATTTAAATAAAAATTAAAAGATAGATTAAAAGATTATAAATTATTAAAAAAATATTATTAGAAAAATCTATTAATAAATCTTATAATAGAGAATCTTTAATAACATCTTTATCTTATTTAAAAGCTTCTTCTTAATAATATTTAAAATCTAATATATATTAAAAGATTTTAAAATAGAATAATAAAGAATAAATAAAGAAGAAAAATATATTTTAAAAGATAATATCGCTAAGTTAAAAGATATTATTATTAATTTAAAAGAAATTTATAAAAAAAAAAAAAAAAAAAAAACTCTTTTTAAGAATTTTTTAATTTGTTTATAAATAGTAGTAAATAGTTATTAAACTAGTTTATAATCTTAATTATTAATAATAATAAATTTGCTAAAAGATGATTTAGAGATATTAATAAAGACTCTAAAAGACGAATAAAAGAGATATATATATCTTAAATATTAAATAATTTTTAAATAAGAAATATTAAGAATAATTATATTTATATTAATAAAATTAATAGAATTAATAAAGTAATAAAAGAATAATAATTATATAAATAAATAAAAGAATTATTATTTAATCTTAAACGTATTTAATATAATTATAATATTTAAATATTAATTTAATTTATTAATAATAAGTTAAACTTTATAATTTTTATAGCGTTAGAAAATATAAAGCGAGCTTTATAATTTAAAGAATTATAAAATAACTATATTTATTATAAGCTAAATACTTTAAAATATAAAATTTTTATATATAAATTTTTAATAAGAAAATATAAAAGAGCTATCAAGTTAACTTAATTAATCTAATTAAAAAAAATAAAAAAGTTAAATTTATAATTAACTATATATATAAATTTTCAATTTTAAAATTCAACTCTATTTTATTTTTTTATATATATTAATATATTTTATTAATTTATTTATTAAAAAGCTTTTCTATCTATAATATCTTCTTCTAAATATATTTAATCTAATATTCTTTTTTATTATTATAATATTTATATAATAAAAAGTTTACTTTATAATAATATTAAATAAGATTAAATATTAAATAAAGTAATAATTTAAAAGAAAGAATATTACTTATAAAGTTTCTTTATAATAATTATTATATATAAAAGAATAAGATAGAATTAAATTTAAAAATCTTAAATTTATATATAAAATTAATTATAAATTCGAGATTATTATATCTTTTAATTAAATTATCTAAGTTAACTCGCTAGCTTACTCGAGCTCTTTTATTAAAAAAAAAGATATATATTATTAATATATAAAAGAACCTTTTTATTTTCTATTAAAACTTTAAAAATTAAATTAAATTATAAAATAAAATATAAACTTTTAGATAAAAAGAATTTTTAAATTTAATCTTATAATTATTAAAGCGTAAGAAACTTAAATATTACTTATTAAAGTTTACTCGATAATTAAATAATCTTATTTAAATATATATTATTTAATTTTTAAAATAAGATTTTTATTCTCTATTAAAGTTTTAAATTTTTCTTTTTAAATTATAGAATAAAATATAAGCTTTTAAATTAAAAAAAGAATTCTAAATTTAATCTTATAATTATTAAAGTGTAAGAAATTTAAATATCGCTTATTAAAGTTCGCTCGATAGTCGAATAGCTCTAATCAGATATATATTATTTAATATTAAAATTTTAATTTTTTTTTTAAACTATAGAATAAATTATAGGCTTTTTTAAAAAAAATTCTAAATTTAGTCTTATAATTATTAAATTATAAGGAATTTAAATATTATTTATTAAAAATCGCTCGATAGCTAAATAACTCTAATTAAAAAATAATAGAAATATATTACTAATATATAGAATAATCTTTTTATCTTCTATCAAATTCTTATAATTTTTTTTTAAATTATAGAACGAAATCTAGGCTTTTAAATAAAGTAATAGTTATTAAATTTAGTCTTATAATTATTAAAGTATAAAAAATCTAAATATTAGTATATATAAAAGAATAAGATAGAGCTAAGCTTGAAAACCTTGAATTTGTATGTGTAGCCAATCATAAATTTGGGTTCGCTACGCTCTTTGGTTAGACCGGCTAAGTCAGCCCGGTAGCCCTCCCGCGCCTCCCTTGTGAAAAATTTGTATGGAGATGTTTTACACTTTGAAGTACTCAGCTTGCGATACATATATAATTCCTCAAGTTGTAGAGCTCGCTTTGCGCTTTCTAACGCTGTAAAAGTAATGAAGTTTGGCCTACTATTGGTTGGTTAAACTGACATTCAAAGATTG